TAATAATTTCTACTAACAAGGAATGGAATACAATTGGTGGGTTAGAGATTGCATGTGATTTTGAGTAAATCTTAAAGAGATAATGAGTCCATCTGAGTTCCTCCTCCAGCTTTTTTGGTGGGGGGGCATTGAGACCACATGCCTTTTTTTTGTAAGTGGAATGTTTTCCTGTGTAAGTAAGTTGCTAACTCACTTGCTGTCTCCTCTAGTGAGCTGAAGGTTTGTTCAGCACCCTGTGTGTCTAGCAGCAAGCACAATCCCAGGCATGAGGAAAGATCTCAGGACATACTTATTTTATTGCCAAATGGGCAGAGATACGACAGTTGTTGCAAACAGTGTCATCTCTCGGTTAGGCTGCTGGAAGGGCATGTACTGTCAAATGTACCATGAACACTGCTATAGTTTGGTGTAGTTTGAGTGTTCCCCAAAGGTCTATTGTGATTGGAGGCTTGGTCCCTTGAGTGGCTGTTTAGGGGAAGTAATGTGGAACCTCTAAAATGTGGGGGAGGGTTTTAGGTCATTTGGGACATGCTCTTGGAAGGGATTATATGACACAAGTTTCTCTTCTCTGTTCCTGGTTAGAGTTATGATGTAACCACTTCTTTGCTCCTACATAATTGATTGCCATATTTATTAGTGTGGTCAAGGGGCAGGTGTGTGTGCTATGCCATTTGATCATTAGCCTTCAAAACTGATCTGAAAACAAGTTTTCTTTTTCATAAGTAGTTTGCGTCAAGTATTTTGTTATAGTGGCAAAAAAGCTGATCAATACAAACACTTGTCCCGGTTCTATTTTGAGGGCAACAGGGGTGTCCCTGGAAGCCTTCTCTGCCACTGCACTTCTTTGAAATAGAGTAGATAGATCCATTATGCTTTTGTACAGCATCTTGAACTTGACTGGCTCTTAATAGACACCAATAATTATTTACTCAAATTACTTATTTTTAGAACAAATGGATAGAATAGATGGATGATAGTTGAGGGATGACAGGCATTGTGAATCTAAATTGTGTACTGTTTCACTGTTCATTTAAAAAAATTATTTCTAATTTTTTATTTCATGTGTATGAGTGTATTGCCTGCTTGTGTGTAAGTGCACCTGTATAGTGAAATGCCTACAGAGGTCAGAAGAAGGTGTCAGATTCCCCTGAACTGGAATTGCAAATGGTTGTTAGCTACCATATGGGTGCTGGGAACTGAACTTGGGTCCTCTGCAAGAGCAGCCAGTGCCATCTCTCCAGCACTTCACTGTTCATTTTTGAAGACTCTCCTTCAGTTTTTGCTTCCTGTCATATTTGAAGGGACTTCATTTTTTATTTTATTTTATTTTTGTCAAGAAAAACACCAGACAGAAGCATGTCCATTTGATCATTGTTCCTGTCTGCTGCTCGTCTCAGCCTCACATCTTTGCTGCCCGGAGTTGTGCTTATGTACGTCTTGATAGCTTTTGTGAGTCTGAAGGGTCGCTGTTATCATTGCTGTGTTGTCTGTGTGCTCTTGAAATGTTTTGTTTGAAGAGGTGTTGGTTTTGTTTTATTGCATTGGTGATGAATGTATCAGAAAGTCAGTAATTGAGTTTCACGAATTTGCTCTTCACATAGGAAACTTGCTGTCATTTTTACAAAATATGGATTTGTCCATTTATAAATTATATAACATAAAGTCACACTTCAGAAGTTTTTTAATTTCATATTCCATGTATGTCTGAGTGTATGTATGAGTGTGGTAGATGCACATGTGTGCACATGCATGTGGAGGCATTCCTCAGGTGTTGTTCATCTTGGCTTTTTTAAAAAAGATTTATTTATATTTTATGTGTATGAGTGTTCTGCCTGAGTGCATATGTGCCCCACATGCATGCAGTGCCCACGGAGCCAGAAGAGGGTGTCAGATCCCCTGGAAATGGAGCTAAGGACAGTTGTTAGATACTATGTGGGAACCGAACCTGCGCCCTCTGCTGGCCCTCTCCAGCCCCTCATCATGTTCTTGTTTTGAGATAGCATCTCTCATGGGCTTGGAGCTTGATAATTGTGCTAGACTGGCTGGCCAGTGAGCCCCAGGGATCCTCCTGTCTCTGCCTCCCCAGTGCTGGGATTTACAAGCATGTGCCACTATGCCTGGGTTTTTACATAGGTATAATTCTGGAAATTAAGCTCAGGTCCTTGTGCTATACAAGTCAGTATTTTAAAATATGTTTGCAGAGCTGTGTAACCATCACCATTGTGCTGTCTCCAGAAGAAATCTACACTCTGTAGTAATAGCACCTGTTCTGAGTATTTCATATAAATGGAATCATGCATCTTATGGCCTTTGGTGTTTGGTTTCTTCCACTTAGCATGAGTGGTTTCATCCATGTTGTGGTAATGTGGTTGGTGGCCTCATCCATGTTGTGATAATGTGTCAATACACAGTACTTCATTCTCTGAAGGCTGAATAGCATCCCATTACATCACACTGTGTCTCTCCCCTCATCTGTTGATGAACATTTGTGTTCTTGTGCTTTGACTGCTTCCAGTACTGGTACTGTGAATATTTGTGTGCAAGTTTTTGTGTGGATGTACGATTTCCAGACTGTTGACTGTACACTTGGGAGTGGAATTTTTTACACATAGTAACTGTGGAACTGCCAGACTATGTTCCAAACCACACCATTTTACATTCTTGCCAACAACACTCAAAGGCTCCAGTTTGTTTATATCTTTACCAACCCCTTTATTGTCTCCCTTACTCGCCTCTTTTGAGATAGCATCTCAGTCTGTAACCTAGGCTGAGCCTCCTCATGCATTGCAGGTGTGAGCCGCCACCCTTGGCTGTTGCCCTTTTTAATTATAGCTATCAAATGAGCACTGTCTTCTTGTTTTAATTTGCAATGTCATTATTAATGAAATTGAGCACCTTCCATGTGTTTATTGGCCTTTTCTATCTCTATGTATTTTTTAAAAACACATCCTTTGGGGGCTGGAGAGATGGCTCAGCAATTAAGAACAGTTGCTGCTCTTGCAGAGGACCCGGGTTTGGGTCACAGCACCTACATAGTGACTCAAAACTGGCTGTAACTCCAGTTCTAGTGGATCCAACACCCTCTTCTGGCCTCTCCAGGCATTGCATGCATGGGTGAACTTAAATATATGCAAGCAAAATGCCCATACATATATAACAAATGAAAAAATAAAAAAGCCTTTGTCCGTTTTTAAATTAAGGTGTCTTTTTTCCCTCAGAATTTTTTATTAGCATATACTAAGTATGCACAGTAATGGGCTTCATTATAACATTTTCATACGTGTATGTATTTTGTATTTGGTCATATTCATTCCCCATTACCCTCTTGCTCTCACTCTTGCTGATCCCCTTCTTCTTCCCAAGTAGCCCCCCTTCTTTCCTTTTCTTTCTTGTGGTTCAGTGGGTTTGATTAGGGTTGCTTACAGGAGCATGGACACCTTATCAGGGGATACACCACTGAAGAAAATGCACCCCCACAACCATTAACTGCGTATACATTTTCAGGGAGGGACAGTGGGGCAGGAGTTCCTTCTTCCTTACCTACTATTAACTGCCTGTTTGACTTGTTTTTTATTGTTGTTGTTGTTGTTGTTGAAATTTAATAATCCACAATATATAATGGCTGTTTTTTCCCCATATTGAAATGTCTTGACATCCCGCTGAAAATCACTTGACCATGAATTTGGAAAGTTTGTTTTTTGGCACCTAATTCTGTGCTGTTAGCCTATATGTCTGTCTTATGTCAGCATCCTACCTTTGATTACTATAGCTTTGTATTGAGGGTTTTTTTTTCTGTCTTTTTTTTGTTGTTGTTATATTGAGTTTCAAAATTGAGAGATGTGAATCTTCTGATTCCCCCTCATCCCCAAGATTGCTCTGGCTCTTCTGGATATCTTAATATTTCCATATAAATTTTATAATCAACTAATCATTTGTGGTGGTGGTGTTTGATTAGTTGAGACTAGATCTCATTGTGTAACTCAGGCTAGCCTTAAACTCAAATTCAAAATCCTTAGCTTCCTGAGTGCTGGGATTATAGGCATGCATTACCATGCCTATCTGCTCCCAGGCTTCTACAACACTCATCATGTCCTGGTGCTGGAAATTGAGCATAGGGCCTTGTGCATGACTAGGCAGGTACTCTGTCACTGACCTGTATCCCCATCTCTTCAAGCAGTCTAGTCTTGCAAAAACAAGATGACTGGAATTTTTTTTTTTTTTTCAATAGGAATTGAGTTGAATCTGCATTGCCCACTGTCATTTGGTCTGAGACTGAACTTGGCTTCTCTTTTAAAGTGTGAGACTTGGTACCATGTTTGCAAATGATGCAGAACCTAAAAACTGCCATTCACCTGTAACAAACTTAGAGAACTAATAAGCACTCACTTTGATGTGCTTCCAGTGGGCAGGCCTGCGTAACAATTAAGATCTCAGGAGAGAGGCTGTGGTGCCATTGGGATTTCAGATCTGCTTTGCTTTAGGTTGTCTCATCTACCTGTATGTTCTGGTAGAGCTGAGGGCCTAACTGGAACATAAGCTTAGAAGTTAATGTAGTGTAGTGTTGATGGTCATAGACTTTATTTAGGCTTTGCTGCCTGGGTTCAAATCCCAGTCCTGATGCTTTGGCATCATGGGTAAGTTACTTCAGCTTTCTGTGCTCCAGTTTTGTTCTCTATAAACGACCTTATAAAAGGATTAAAATATGTAGATTGCTTAAAAAAATGGATTGGTGATCATCATAAGTGCCTATGTGTGTTGATTATTATTGTTACTATTGTTATTCATTTGTATCTTGTCACTGGAGCATAAAACCCTTTTCTGGCTTACTGTCACTCGATTCCTAAACACTAGTGCTGTGCCTGGCATATAACAGCTATTCGGTAACTTTTTGAGAGAGGGAGAAAGGAAGGGAGGGATTATAAATAATAAATGATAGTATTTCTAAATCCTTTCCTGAAACTACCTTTGACAGCTATTTACTCTGTGTTTCTTTACAACAGCTTTTGGAGCTATTTGATAGTGAAGATCCACGAGAACGGGACTACTTAAAAACAGTCTTACACAGAATTTATGGGAAGTTTCTTGGTCTTAGAGCATTTATCCGAAAACAAATTAACAATATTTTTCTAAGGTAAGCGGCAGGTGGGGGAGCAGGAGAGCAAAGCTAATGTTTTAAAAACATTGAGTAAACCCTCTTGCTTACTTCTTCCCTCCCTCCCCTCCTCCTTTCTCCCCTCTTCTTTCTCTTCTCAGGTTTGTTTATGAAACAGAACACTTCAATGGTGTAGCTGAACTGCTGGAAATACTAGGAAGGTAAGTAAGTGCTTGCTTTGGAATGCTCATTCAAATGGATTTCGTTCTGAAGGTCAGGTTCAGGTGGCAACAGGAAATGGCAGACCAGGCTCTCTTACTCCGTGTATGTTGAGTCTCTCCTTTATACTTAGCATGTTTCCCAAGTGATGCTACAGGACTCATCTCTTGTTCCACAATTACATATTGTTAAGTCCCCTAAAAGGACCCAAAGGATCTAGCAGTCACTCTTTACATGGAGACTGTACATCTGATGGTAGTGGTCAGAACGGTGACAAAAGCATCTCATCGTCAGAAGCCTAACTTACAGGCTACCTGTCCTTTACCATATCTATAAAAGCAGATTTAAAATGAATTGGAAAGATTGCCATCCTTCGTGGAACTGTGTATCCAGGTAGAGTTCTAGAACAGCTGCAGTTCACAGTGGTGGGATGAATTTGGTAGACAGCTGTCGTTTGGGTTTGGGAGCTTACATTAGCTGAACAGTGAGGTTGCTTAGTCTCTGCTCCTAACAGGAGAAAAAGAAGGTGGGGTTGTCTATTTTCTCTCAGTGACACTCAAGGCTGGGCAGAGATGTCAAGAATGAAAAGAAATGCTGTCTGCAAATGGGAAGAGTTGTATTTAAAGAGGAAGTTAGCAAGGAAAGTGATTGTAAAGAGAAGAAGGAAGGAAAAATAAAACGTTTTGATAAAAATCTTCTGGGAGCCACCTGACTAGTGTAAGAGAACTGATGCTTTGGGTGCTCAGAATCACATTTACTTCTTTTAAACTTTCTGTTTCATAAATGTACTCTGTTGCAGTAACTAAAATTCTTGACTGTCACTGGTGTGGGGTGGAGGGGGGCTACGGGCGGACACATGTAAGCGAAGAGTTAACGATCTCATAGCAGCCTTTTTTCTGGCTTCAGTGTTGTAGAACGTTGCTAATCTGTCTCTTCTCTTTTCTAGTATTATCAATGGCTTTGCTTTACCTCTCAAAGCAGAACACAAACAGTTTCTGGTGAAAGTGTTGATTCCTTTACACACCGTCAGGAGTTTATCACTCTTCCATGCCCAGGTACAACTTTAAATTAGAGCTTTTTGTTTTGAGATTAAGTTTCTTATGTAGGCAAGACTGGCTTTGAATTTGCAGTCCTCCTGCCTCAGCCTCCCAAGTGCTAGGAGCCACCACACCTAGTTTAAAGTACAACTTTTTAACCAAAATGAAAAGTTCCCTTAGTGTTTCTTAGAATGTTCTTTTTCCATTTAAAAAAAGCATGTTAGAAGTTTAAAGAAAATAATAATATATGAATTTTTTTCTATGCACAGTAGAATCTTGGGAGTATTTTAAAGGTAGGAGTGGCCTTTGTTCCATGTTATTTCACAGCACACTTCCATATTCACAAGGTTACCTGCCATACAGATTGATTGCCTTTTACAGAATGCGTGTGGGCTCTTTAGTGCCACATCTTTAGGCATTGCTTAATGAGTTTTAATGTTTCTGAATATGTGGTCCTGTCTAACTTGCCCTGGGCTGCCAGTTGCCCTTTGCCCATCTTACTTTGTACTTACAAATGGACACTCAAAAGTAAAAGCAAATATATCAACGTTTTCATATCTTCCCTTTTAAAAAACCTTCATTACTTTGTTTCTTTTCTTTTTTTGAGTCAGGGTCTCTCTATAGCCCCAACTCTCCTGGAACTCACTAGGTAGACCAGGCTGGTCTTGAACTCGCAGAGATCTGCCTGCCTTGTTACTTTAAAAATCAGATCTTGGGCTGGAGAGATGGCTCAGCAGTTAAGAACACTGGTTGTTCTTGCAGAAGACTTGGGTTTGGATCCCAGCACCCACATGGCAGCTAACAACTGTCTGTAACTCCAGTCCCAGGGGATCCAACAGCCTCTTCTGACCTCCGTGGGCATTGCATGACACGGATGCACTTACCTACATGCAGGCAATCCACGCATACACACAAAATAAAAATAATAAATGAAAAGTTTTAAAAAACTCCTGAATAGGCAGGATTAATAGAAAAATCAATTAGAGGAGAGTAAGCAAGCAGAGGAAAAAAGATCAGATCTTACAGAGTAATGCCACTCCCACCTATAATCCCAGCACTTGGGAGGCTGAGGCAGGAAAATTACCTTGTTTGAGACCAGCCTGGGATATAGGGAGTTCTAGACTAGCCTAAGCTGGTGTGAGACCCTGTCTCAAAACAAACAGACAAACAGGACGAATAGTGTAATGAATCAGATTCTGTCTTATCTCCACTGCACTGTCTGTGCTAAAAACTGCCCTGCATGGTTAGCCTGTCATAGGAAGGCAGATAATTGATCTAGTGATACTTTTAAATTCCGGTCTTCCTTCTCTGGCTTCTTTCTCTCTCCAATGGCAGTGTTTTGAGTGTGCATAAAAATGTAACACATTCTTCTAAGCATTTCTTTAAATGTTAAATTCTATATTTCAAGGAAAAATTAGTCCGTATGTTTCAAATTTAGAACACCATTAAAATTTGGTGTTTGTGAGGGTGGAATCTTTCTGAGTCCTTTAGAAAACTTGCCATTAGTGTTTCCAATGGATTCACCTTTCATGATCATATGAAAGAACTGCTGTTGGTTCTGACTTTGGCAAGCGTAACCTTTAATCTTTTCATGAAACATTGTGAATTTGCTGCTGCCATTATAACCAGTTAGCTGAATTTTTTAGAAAGTCCTTGCTTCCCCATAGAACTCATCTGGAAGCACAGTGAAATGAAACCTAGAACTTGAGATGTAACTGAATTTGAATATAAATGAGATCCTTTGGATGGCACTGAATTGGGTGTTTTGAGCTGCTTTTCATTAGCTGCCGAGCTCATGTCTCGGTATTCTCTAAGAAATAATTCTCTGACAGCTTTATTACTCCCAGTCTTTGGCTTGAAAAAGTAGCTTTTAGCTGGACATGATAGCTTCTACCTGTAATTCCTGCTACTCAGGGTGCCGAGGCAGAAGGATCATTTTGAACTAAGGAGTTTAAGACCAGCCTGGGCAACATAGCCAGATCCCGTCTCAAAATATAAATAGTAAAGATTTTTTTCTGTGAGGGTTAAAATGAAGTGATTGGGAAGTTTTGCTGCTGTGTGCTTTGAATTCATGTTGTAGAATTAAAGCTCTGTCCTTTACTCTTCCCATTTGTCCAGCTGGCATATTGTATAGTGCAATTTCTGGAGAAAGATCCTTCACTCACAGAACCAGTAAGTCCCCCCCTCCCCTATAATGTGAAAAAAAAAAAACTTCAGAAAAACTGCTTTTACTAAGAGTGTATGTAAAAAATTAAACATTACTTTTCTCTTTTTTATTTTAGGTTATTAGGGGCTTAATGAAATTTTGGCCTAAAACATGCAGTCAAAAAGAAGTAAGTATTTAACATCACAGAGTGGCAGCAGCTTAACTTGTGCTCGACAAAGGGCTGCACATGTGTTAAAACATACCATTTCATCTAAATCTCGTTTGTGTCATTCTGAGGCACTCAGCATTCTCATTTTTAGTAGTGATGAAATTGAGGTTTGGAGAGGCTCAATAGCTCACCCAAGCACACTGACTTAAGAACATGTGAATAGGTTAGAACCTCCTTCCAGAACTCTGAACCCTGGGCTTCTATTTACTGTGTTGCTTAGCCTCAGGTAATCCTGGGTTACCCCTCTGGTGTTCTAGTTACTTAACTCCATCGATGTCACCTTCTTAGTGACTCTTCAGGCCTGCTGCAGTCCCCATGTTAAAGCATAGTATATAGATAGATGAAGCTAACTGTTTGTAATCTTATAAACAGTAGACCTTTTACTGGAGATGGCCTGGATACACAGTGACTGCCAGTCACTTTTGCTGAGAGACCGAAGCACTCAGCTATATCTGTATTGCATGTGTGGATGTAGGGAAAAGAGAGTCTCTAGGCAAGTAGCTTGGAAGTGAGTCTATCTGGCTCTTCCCCAGATCTGAAGCTCTCTCTTCAAAGGTTGGAAGTCATGGAAACATGGCCTCAAACAGATGTCACCTGTGAGATTTCTATTCTAGGTATTCTCTAGGTATCTTGACAGATGGTAAGGTGTACAGAGAGAACTTCCTCCTGAAATTAGCTTGAATTTTCCAAGCCCTACTCTACACAGCTTTAGAAAGTTATTTAATTTTTTTTTCTTTTTTTCTTTCTTTCTTTTTTTTTTTTTTTTTTTGGTCTTTTTGAGACAGGGTCCCCCTGTAGCCCCAGCTGTCCTGGAACTCACTATGTAGACCAGGCTGGCCTTGAACTCACAGAGATCCGCCTGCCTCTGCCTCCTAGGCTAGGATCAAAGGTGTGCGCCACCACGCCCGGCTAAAGTTATCTAATTTAACACCCATTAGGTTAAGTGAAACTTTTGTGTTGGTACCCAACTGCATGGCAAGATATGAAAGAAATGCCAATCTTCATATTTTAATTTCCTGCTTAATTTTTCCCAATGCTGTTTCCATAAATAATAGGCAACTGGTTTTTATTTTTTACATTCTATTTAGTACAACTGCTCAAATCTATTGATTTGACCCTATTGTGTGATCTGTAGACTCTCTTTTGCATATAGACCTGAGACCATGTGATTCACTGTCCTCTATAGAGAGCTGTGTGTGTGTGTGTGTGTGTGTGTGTGTGTGTGTGTGTGTGTTAAGCGTGTGGAACACCCACAAGCACAGACAGTGGGTCAGAGTGTGCAGACATTTAATGTGGTACTTTAATCTGGTGAGTTTGCTGTTTGCCTCAAACTTTGAGAGCATAGCAGGGGCTGTAACTGCTTGGCAGATGACTACATGCTACTGTGGTGCTGTGGACTTCTAAACATCTGTGCAGGAGGGTCTTTTTTAAAAAATATGGTGAGATGGTAAACAGCTGGCTTGCTAGTAATGGGCAGAAAGTCCAAAGATCTGAAGGAAAGACCCTGGCCTCCAGGTAATTAGAATTTTCAATACTATAGGTAATTTACTTTTAACAGACTACTCTGTGGTGAATTCTCTGTGAAATGAGCTTCTTCTTTGTTTTGGGTATGTGGGGGTATGCATATGTGGAGGCCAGAGGAGGAGGTCTTGACACAGATAGGGTCCTTCACTGAACCTGGAAGTAGGCTGACAGCTAGAAAGCTCTGGAGATCTTCCTATCTTGGCTCCCCACAGTGCTGGGATTACAGGCATGTGCATGGCCATGCCAGTCTTTTTATATGGATGCTGGTGGGGATTTGAATTCAGGCCCTCAAGTTTACACAGCAAGTGCTCTTACTGACCCATCTATCTGGTTCCAAATGAACACTTTCTAACACAGGATAATGCCTGATTCATTTGTTTTGGCTTTATGTGTACATTTTTCTTAAAACAGTGTGGCTTCCTAGCCCTTACTGAGCATGTGAGCTGCGTGATGGGTCTCACATTTGTGTTTTGCTTCTGTTTGTAGGTCATGTTCCTTGGGGAACTGGAAGAAATTTTGGATGTGATTGAACCTTCACAGTTTGTTAAAATTCAAGAACCTTTGTTTAAACAAATTGCCAAATGTGTGTCTAGCCCCCATTTTCAGGTTAGTAGTAAAGAGGACATGGACTGGAGTGGCCTGTGCCACATGAACAAATTTGCTCAAGCTTCATTTATGTTGAAAGAAATGTCACGGACTCTAGCTACTTGGGGTTTTTTTATTTTAAAGATTAAAAAAAATTAATTATGTATATATGTGTGCCTGTGTGTGGGTATGTGCACGTGCCTGTGGAGACCAGAGGTGTCAGATCCCTGGAGCCAGAGTTACAGGTGGTTGTCAGCCGGCTGACGTGGACGTGGGGAACTGAACTTGGCTCCTCTGAGAGAGCAGTATGTGCTCATAACCACTAAGCCGTTTCTCTAGCCCGTTACTTGTTTTTGTTTGTGACTTTCTCTCATGAAACTTTACTGTTAACAAATGGTCACCTGATGTTGAGTACCTGCCCCTAACAGTCTCTGTAATGGGGGCCTTTGTCTCTTAACTTTATTTCCCATAATATCCTGCAAGAAGGCATGATGTGAATGCCAATGTACAAAGTGATCAAATAACTTATCTCAGGCAAATGATTGAAGAGCAGGCTTCAGTATATAGCAAAGAATACTCAATAAAGCTTAAGAAAGAAAAGACAAGCCTGATGCAGTCTGCTTGATGCTTTACCTATGCTATTTATAAACTTTGCATTATCCTATGAAGGTCTTTTCTATTGTTCAGATCAGGCTCAGCATGTCTTAACAAGGGAGTGTAGCTGAATTTTGATCTTAACTGTGGCTTCTTACTAAAGCCCACGACCTTCCCATGGACTATTCTGCCTCCTTGTGGCCATTTGAGGAGAACGCAGGGAAGGTGAGCCAGGATGTGTGTTTCTCTTTTTGGGGGGCCTCTTGCTACAGTACTGTGGAACCCATACAGGACAGAAAAAGGGGACCAGAACATGTTTTATTTTGCCCTGTGGCTCTTTCACCAGAAATCCATCCTACAAATCTAGCAAGTCTATATAGTCTGCATATTGCCTGTCATGTTGAAGAATTGTTCAAACAGTAGCTCACAGCACAAACACACACCTCTAATGGGATAATTTGATGATGGTCTCTCTCTTAAGCTGTCTGGTAGAGGCCCTCGCTGTTACTGGTTTTCATAAATCTAAAGATGTGATAGTATGTCAAGTTAGTGCTTGTACCACAAAGGAAAGAAGAAAGGGAAAACATAGATATAACATCATTATGTGAACTGTTCAGTTTGGATGCAGGTAGAAAAGTTCAGAATAGCATATAGGGACTTTACATATTACACCAAGCCTGATAGTGCTCAAATATCTGGATTATTTCCTTTATTTTTCCATTTTCATCAGGATATTTGATGTGGTGGAGGCTGAGGAGAAGAAACCTCTTTTACAATGAGCCTAACAGGGACTTAAATGATACTCCAAGCTTAGAAGGAAAGATAATGTTTTAGACTTGGGATAAAGCTTAGTAATTGAGCATTTTCCTAGTATTGTGCAAGGCCCTGGGTTTGACAAAAGAGAAAAAAAAAAGGAGTCGAGAGACAGTGTACTGATTGCCTCAGGTTGCTATAACAATATGCTATAGACCTAGTAGCTTCAACAACCAAAATGTATTTTCCACAGTCCTAGAGGCTGAAGTCTGGGGTCAGGATGCCAGCTTGGTAGATTTCTGGCGGGATACTTCCTCTGGAATGCACACTGCCATTCTGCTGTGTTTTCACATGGCTCCTGTGTGTGTATTCATTCTGCTCCACAGCCTCTGTCATAGTTTACAGTGGGTAGGACCATAGATCCTCCCTCTCCTCTAACTCATCAACTCCTTAGGGACAATGTGAAGAGTTAAGAACAGACTTTGTTGTTTGCTTCTTGCTTACCATGTGGCCTTGAGTCAATGGGTTATCATCTAACCCTCAATTTCCTAATCCACAAAATAGGAATGACGGTACCAACTCTGTTAGTTATGAGGTCTCAAAAATCAAAAGGGCAATGGTACAGCAGTTTTGAACCAATTGAATATTGTAAACAGAAAAGTTCAAATTTCTCAGTCTGCCAGTGGGTATCCTTGTATTATTTTTTCCTTTCCCCTTTTGTTTTAAATGTTTTATTTATTATTTTTACATGTATGAGTATATTGCCTGCATGTATGTAAATGCACTCCTGTTATGAAATGCCCACAGAAGTCGGAAGAAGGTGTTAGATTCCCCTGAAACTTGAGTTAGAGATGATTGTTAGCTGCCATGTGGGTTCTGGGAACCGAACCCAGGTCCTCTGCAAAAGCAGTCTTAACTGTTGAGCCATCCCTCCAACCCCTTTCCCTTTTGTTTTTGAGTTCATAGGTGAGCATCTTTGGCCCAGCAGATCAAATTAGAGTCTCTTGGTAACGAGATAGACAGAAACAGGGATCCGAGATAACACCCAGTATCTCTCAGCCTTGAAAGTAGGCAACATCTCCTGGGTTGCCGTGCTCAAAGGAGGGACCAGAAGTGAACTTTAGAAAGAACCTGGGCCCCAGACTTGAGTCTTCAGTGTTTGCTATCTATCCAATCTCTGACTCTTGTATGTGAGGACCAAGGTGCCTACTTCTCAGATGGAGTTAAGGGTGGCACATTCTACCCACAGTAGATGCTGCCTGGGGGCTTTCCCCAGCATGTTACTGAATACCAATACAAACTTTGTACTAGGCTTTGTGTTTTATCTGAAGCCTGTGGGGTGGGAGAAGTGTATCACTTTTCACATTGCTATCACAGAATGTCAGAGAACTTAAGGGAGGAAAGGTTTTCTTTGGCCCATGATTTCAGAGGTCAGTCATCATGGCAGGAAAGGCATAGTGAAAGAGGAGGCTCTGTTCATGGCAGTGGGGGCATGTGACTGTTCAAATGGCTGCAGATCTGGAAGCAGAGTCTGGAATAACTTTCAAAGGCCTACCCACAGTGACATACCTCCCAGCTAGCCAGACACTACCTCATAGGACTCCACAGCCTCCCAAGTAACACCACAAGCTGAGGACCAGGCATTCAAAACATAAGCCTGTTGTGGACATTTCAGACTCAAAGAACAAGATTGGAGTCAGAAAGGGAGTTCTGAAAGGGGGCTGGGTGATGGATGAGCCAGTGTGGTGCCTGGAAGTAGGACAGAGATGCTTGGAGTTTGAGGACTGTGTAGGGGAAAGTAGGGAAGCAGATGGCAGGAGCAGACTTAAATTAACAGGTAGAAAAAAAGAACCTTTCCTTCCCCAAACTGATGAACCGCTTCCTGAGAGATTTTTAAGACTGCACAAAATATAAAGTGTTATTAATATTTAATTTTACTTTTGATTGAATGATTTAAAAATAGTCTTTTAGAATACTTTTGTTTGGAAAGGTTGTCATTTGTTTCATCGTTATCTTTCTTTTCCCACAGGTGGCAGAGAGGGCACTCTATTATTGGAATAATGAGTACATCATGAGCCTGATAGAGGAGAACTCCAATGTCATCCTTCCCATCATGTTCTCCAGTCTCTACAGGATTTCAAAAGAGCACTGGAACCCGTAGGTGTTCCGCTTCCCTCCATCCCCTCCCTGGCCTTTCCTCCTCCTCCTCCTCCTCCTCCTCCTCCT